ATTTGTTTCTGAAGTGACTTCCATTTATTTTGATACGTCTTTTCCCTATGATGATTTATAGGATCTTTAAACCAATATAAATATTTTATAAATATTTGAATATTTGGGTATACACCTGCACAGTACCTCAGCAATATCTTTCAGCAGGAAAAACCCTTAAGAGTAAAGACTAGACACAATTACTAGGTACAGTGAAAATCTGCAAATATTTCTGAGGTAAGAAGGCACCACATACCTGTTCAACTAAGAAAACCACCCTTTCAACACAGGATGATTTTATTTTTATGCAGGACCTAGAACACTTAAGCTGCCTATTGGGTGCTGAATGGCAGAGCAACACCCCAGCTTATGCCATGAATTCATAGGGAACGGGTTCCAGCAACTTGGGTTCCTTCTCATTGGTTCTCACAAAGTGCGCTTCCCTGGGAGGGGCAAGCTGGCGTTCCAGTTGAACCCAGGTACCTGTCTCTTTGGCTTCCTTCTTTTTCTGATCATTTTCCTTGACATGTTTCGGGAAGCTATCATGACTTTTTGAGTGTTTAATATGCTCAATATGCGCATTAATCCTCTTGGCAAGTATCTTGCCCTTAACTTGCTTGTTTACAGCAATACCAACAGCATGCTGGGTAATGTTGTAGACTTGTCCTGTTTTGCCATATAACATTTGCGAGGCATTCCTTTTTGCACTGTACCCATTCCCTTGATGTCTACAGTGTCACCCTGTTTGTAGATTTGTATGTGTGGCCAAAGGAACAACCCCATGTTTTCTAAAAGGCCTGGAGAATGTATACCAGGTTCCCCTCCTCTTATGCTTTATGTTAGTCATTTTGGCAAATTACTGGAAGATGGTAGTTCCCTGTCCTTGAACATTGAATGCTACTTCCTGTTATGTCAGTGTTGGTTACACTTAATGATGGGTTCTTGTCTCTTGGGCTGGAAAACGAAGTCCCAAGGCTTTTGTGGGCAGGGTGGCCATTGCCAAAAGGAGGATTTTGGCAAGCTGGAGCTGGGTGTCATGTTTGGGACTTGGGGCTTGGGAGGGCTTGTCTGGCCCAGAACTTTCCAGCTTGATTTTCTGCAGTGATGGGATTGAGGGTAGGAGGCCTGTCCAAGAGGAGAGTGTCACAGGTTGGGCGACAGCAGCAACCCAGGGCCAAAGATGAGGAGCAGGTGGATTCCTTGGGAGCCACGTGGCGTGCCAGTTAGAAGGGAGCAGGGGGAGACAGAGGAGCCACATAGTGGGGGCTGGGTCACGTGGCCTGTACTGTGTGGTGAAGACTTTATCCAGAAGTGATGATGAACTTCATCCAATTCATCCAGAGCCAGGTGGGAGCCCGGGGATCTTGTTAGAGACAGGTGAGGTGGCTCTGGGGACCATGTGCCCTGAAATAGGTGTTGTCACCCTTACATACAGTATTCATTCATATACACACAACACGGACACACGTACATTTGCGTACATGCACACGCATTTGGACATACATGCATCCAGTGCTTGTTTCCTAGTGTGTTTCGAAGAATGCCAACAGATTTGCTAAATGCAATATAGCAAACTTCTTCCCACGAAGGCTGACCAGAATGAGTTTAAGGTTCAGTAGTAGAAATGCTGAGTCACCGTGGAAATGCAGATCAGAGCCCAAGTGCAGTGACAGCCTGGCGGTGCCCCAGGCCAGCGAGGGTGCTGCCTGTGGAGGCGTGTCGTCAGGGCACACGCAGCAAGGCATCCTGCAGAGCTGTGCACGCTGTGTGTCTGGAGGCTGTGCCCAGAACGTGTGTCCCGGGCAGCGCCGAGTCGCTGAGTTGTAGTGTGGGCTGCAGGGCTGGGGACCTCGTGTCTACGTGTCCGTTCTCACCTCGGGACACCTCCAGGGTGGCCTGATGTGTTCAGGAATGTCTGCCTGGGTGGTCCCTCTTGGGGTCCGCTCCTTGGTGTGAGCGGGTGGGTGTGGGGACAAGCACCTTCAGCACAGCCAGAGAAGCCAGCTGGACCGAGGGGCTGCCTGTTGGCCTGTGTACAGGGCTTCCTATGTCGGGAGTCACCGGTGTGTGGCAGCCTTGGCGGCCACTCAGCTGCTGACAGGCTCGTGGCACTCCTGCCGCATGGAGTGGTGCACCAGCTGCTGTGAGTTCCCCTGTGACTGGCTGCAGCCTGGGCCACGCCGTGGCTGTCCTCTGGCCACTCTGGGCACGCTGCCCCCTGGAGACCAGCGCATACTGTGCTAC